ACAATAATTTTGCAATTACAGAGTGAATCTGAGACTTTTATTTGTTCTGTTTGTGTGTCTTATATTTGAGAGGGTTGTCACTCAATGCAGAGAAATAAGTAATAAAAAAGAGACCAACGCACTATAGGCTAGTGACAGACTGGCTTTGCTTTGCTAACGGGTAGCTACAGACAGACCCGGTGCTAATACGGCACTGGAACCTTAACGACCGTTATCTACCGCACCGAATATCAACGCGGATTTCTGTGCTTCAGTTCGGTGCAAATAGAGGTTAAAAACCAAGCAAATATCGGCCAAAATAAATCGGCAGCATTAATCGGCCATCGGCCGACCCGGATTTCAAAAGATCGGTATCGGCATCGGCGTGAAAAAAACCATATCGGTCGACCTCTATACTGCACACTGGTGCAGCAGCTCTTTTCACCCCTGTGTGTTGAACACTTCATTTTAGCTACCGAGTGAAGCATCTCACTTCTATTCGATCTTTGTTGGGAGTTGCGTTTAAATTAAATATTGTCGTGCTGCAGAGATGTCCTGGCCTACACATCTTATTCTAGAGACTTAAGAAAGCATCTTTGTTTGGTACAGATCCCCACAAAGATCACACTATAATTCATTTTAATAGGTTTGTCATTGAAAATGAGAATAATGATGTAAAAGTAATCATTCCCTCCAGTATCACAAATCATATTGCAATTGCAATATCAGTCAATATAATAGCGGTTAAATATTTTTTCACAATCTTTCAGCCCTAACCTTCAGCTAATTTAATGGCATCCAGTTCTTCTCTTGCAAAATTTAAATCGCAATGCCCAAGCTTTGCAGGAAGGTTTGTAGGCAGTCATGATCCATGAAAGGTAAACTAAATTTAAAATGACACTTTCTTTTTAATATCAGACCAAAATTCAGTATATTTCTTCTTTTTACAGATATGTTTGTACCTTTTGGAAGACTTGCTGTTTCTTTTTACCAACAGAGTAATACAACACATGACACTGTAATGAGCAGCAAATTTTCTAAAATCTTGATGTGTCCATATTGTTGCCTCTGTAACAGGCTATTTGTTAAAAAAAAATTTAAAAATAAAGCTCTAGCTCTCTTACATAAGCGCACTAATAGCTGGTTTAGAAAGTCGTGGGTTGACAGAGCCGGTTGATAACCACCCTTTTGAAACAACTGAGACTGCCATTGTTTGGTTTTGTGGAACCAGTGACTGCATAGTTGTGACAATTTTCCAGAACCTGCGTCATGAGGCGGACTGTCGGACTCACCGGTACATATTTTGCATTTCATCCCATTTGTATCCCTTTGAATGAAGCTGCCATCATCAGATCAGGCTGGTTAAAACAATCATACCGTGTGCCTTTCACTGATGACATGCTGCATGATATCACTGCTGAAGCCTAAATCTTATTGCCATGCGGCTCCACCAACAAGCAAAGCTGTTAAGTTCAACTTTAAACCATACTCTGTCATATTCTCACCAGAAAAAGGCGGAGGGTCAAAGACAAAATTATAGGCTTATACTGGCTATAACACTGTATGTATGTGACAGTATAAAGAAGCATGTAATCTAGCTCTCCCATTACTATAGCACCACGCTTATGACAAAAATGTGTCCTTTAACTCCAGAGTCAGGACTCTTCGTCGTGCTTTTTCTCCTTGCACGTCATGGGAGGACCATATGTACCATATGCACCAGTACGTGCTGTGTAATAGATCAGTTGTTGATGTGTCTCCGTGCAGATGCCACTCAAAAAAATTTCCAAAATTCTCCTACGCCCTGTACTAACTCTGACAGCCACAATGGGTCAAAAAATGTTTCTGGTGGGTTCAAACATGACAAGATAACAAGTGAATACCAGAACAAGACACTTCTAACATGTGGGGAAAAAATTAAATTGTTCCCATTCCTGCTGAAAAAGAAGAAAGAAAAAGATTACTGAACGAAGCATATAATCGCTGACTCTTTGCCCTACCGGAGCACTGTAATTATGCCTATAAAACACATTCTATATATAAACAACAATAGGCAGTTAAAGTGGGTGTTATGTCAGGGTGTTCTGGTGACTCAGTGCGCAAAAGGAGCACACCCCATGCGCTTTGGGTTACTGTGAGTTTGACTCCAGCGATTTAAAGCTTCTCATAAGGCTCAAAATTGGACAGAACGGCAGCAACCAGCTAAAGCACTCACTAACATGTTGGCTGTGGCTGATGAGTCTTAATTGCGCTTGGTACACTGGCACACAGCCCACCTGGGCTCAATCAGAACTAGTTTTCTTGTCAACAAGCTGGTGCATCTGCTGAATAATTTAGGTGAAACTCTTAATTCACTGGCTGATGTTGCCAGCTGAGAGCAAATTTAGCTTGAAGCCTCATTTTTATGAACGCCATAAGGCTGACAAAAATAACATGATAACTGTGAATAACTAGATTAGACAAATAGCTCAAATTAGAGATGACATTTAGGAGCCGTTTAATAGTGAAGTTACTGTCTGGGGGGATGTGTGATAGCCAAAAGGCTAAAATGAAGTATGTTTTAACCACAGAAACAAATTACTGAGTTCGGCACAAATAAAGGTCATTTAAAAAGCAACTTAACAGATATCACATGAAGAATCAAGGCACGACAAGCATTTGGTGCCGTCCTGTATGTTTGAAAAGGGTGTTTCTGATTAAAAGCCATTTTTCTTTAGCCACAAGGGCTGGAGGGATGTTGTTGTTGTAGTAGGCACTTTGACAAGGCGTGGATGTGCGTGAAGTTATGAATAAGAAGTGTGGTGTTGCTAAAAGAAGAAGCTACATTTACCTGATCAACTCCACATTGAGAATTCAACATTAAGAGGAACCAGCAATACAGCAATAAAAATGCACACTGAATATCAATCTTTATTAAGTAGAGATTATACTACTACAATTATTCCAACTAAGTGGATATAGCTTAGATGTTCAAGACAAAGTTTTATTTCTGATCACCTGCATTAGGAAATTAATGGCCTGTACATAAGCAAACAGCAGACCAGTCTAAGCTTCTTCTGCTCTCTTCCTCATCCATAAAGCACTTCCTAAATGCCTCTCACACAGCCCAACGCCCCTCGTTTTTTGCGCAACATCCGTTACCTCCCTGTTTTCAGAAACACACACTCAGAAGGACAGAGCAAGTCATCAGTACACATTTGGACACATACACACATTTTCTCATTTCAGCATTTGCTGTGTACCTAATCTCGAGAGAGAGAGGACTGTCAAATTGTGTAGCTTTTATCCAAAGTGTGCCCAGGAGTTGATAAAGTTCCAGTTATAAAGCCAGGACAAAATGTTATGAAATGGGCCAAGAAAGAATGTTGCAAGCTCCAGCAAGCAGCTTGTATGAAGCAGGGAAGTGAGCAGAATGAGTGTGTGTGTGTGTGTGTGTGTGTGTGTGTGTGTGTGTGTGTGTGTGCAACTGTAGGCAACAGGAGAAGAAGTTAACTGTTCTGACGCTGATTAGCTTCTTTAACAAACAACCAAACCGCAGTAAAACAAATCAGAACACTTAACTTCCCTGAAACACTATGTGAATCATAAAGCAAAGCCAAACCTGTCTTCTGCTGCTACAACTTCTTAAACTGTAACTGAAGCTTGTTTTATTTGAATCCTTTAATGAGTTTTACTAATAGTTACATTCATTTAAACTTACAAAATGAAATGCGCATGTATCCTCCAGCTAGCATTACATGTACTTACGTGTCCTAACCAAAGCTATTTAACAAAATGACCACATAATGGCACAAGCTGTATTATATTAGTGCCATTCCTTTAGTGGCTATTTCAGCTATTTCACAAGCCTGGGACAAGTCCTATTTTGAGTCCGGAGTTGCAACACAATAACATCCAGTGATGCGGTCTGGGCAAACTTATTACAGGTCGGTCAGCGGTCATCAAAAAGCAAACAAAATATGTTCCTTTAACAATACATTTTTTTCCATCTCGAAAAAATACTATGCTACATACTTGGAATTATATTCTTTTTTTCAGCCGATAACTGTAGAGAGATAACAATAGAGGAGAACGATGTTTATTCCTCAAAGAATACATACAATCAGTGCTTCATTTATTAGTTATACATAACTAAAAACTAATGCAGTCTAATACAACACCCCTGCACTAAATCCAACCTTCATGGAGGCTATATTGTTAGTTTAAAACAATTCAACATCTGGAGGCTGTAGTGTGTGATGCTGCTGAATTTGATTGCATGATACTGGTATCTCTAATATTTTGTCCACCCTATTTATATCAATGGGAAGGAATTAGCTGAGTTTATTATGGGCAAACTGTATCTAGAAAATAAAATGTATTGGTTTAACTGTCTTTAGGTGGGTTTATCATCCACTAATATCCATCAACTATATCTATAGTATACTCACTGCCATTATTAAATAAGTTAACTATATATTAAGTCGTCATATACATATTTTACAGAGAAAAACCTATGTACATGAATAATACAGGTAGACCATACATCCAATAAAGCTCAGTTTAGCTATTCACTGCTCATTGAGTTTCAGAGGACAATGAATCACTGCACTGTACAATCAGGCATGGTTAACAGACAGTAAGCCACCATAACACTGCACTTTGGCCCAGCATTTACCTACAAGCTAAGCTATCTCAACAACGCCATGTAAAAAAAAAAAAAAATTACCCCACGTCTGGAAAGAGGCGTGAACGTGTGTTGTTTTGCTGTTGTACTTTAAAGAAACAGAAGCCGGTAGTGTGTCTGTGGTTTAGGGAGACAATGCTAGGCCGCCATGTAAAGCCTGGAAATGGGAGGAAAAGGAAGAGGGCAGTGTGGCCGCCCCCCTGCCTCACCTCCTGGGGGATACAGGGAACCAGGAGAGGGTGGGATATGGAAGGTCAGCACGGAGGAAAAGGTGGAAATTATGAAGGGAGAGAGGTCTGGTGAGATAGATATATAGCAAGGAAGGTTTGTAACGATGATGTAAATGTTGACCCACCATAAAGTCGCTGCCGAAGTTGTCCTCTCCCCTCTCCTCGTCCCCCTCTCTCATGGCCTTCACTCCCTGGATAAACTTTCTCAGGATGCCGGCTTGGTCCATCCTTAAGTCCTCTTGTAACGTATCCCGTTGCCTTTTCCTTAAAAAAAAAAAAAAACTCCCAAAGTAGCAAGGCGGGAGAAAATGTAAAAATAAAACACAAAAAAGGGCACCAGGGAAAAGGGAAGAGGGGGAATAAATAAAAATAAATAAGCTTCACGGATCCTCCCAGAGAGTCATCGTCGGTTCACAACACCTTTTTTTTATTATTATTATCGCCCCATGTTGTTCCTGCCTTTCCTTCTTTCTTCTGGGCTGTTTTCACAACGATAATGGTTAGTCCCAAAGAAAAACAGCTGCGGCCGGGTTTTCTGGTCTACAAACAAGTTCACCACCGTGGCGTACGGTAGATGGCAAACACTTGGTTCTGTGAGAAAAGCTAAATAAAGACAAAAGGCAACGAAAAAACCTGGTCTGGTCAGTCTGTCTACCCCTCCCTGTCTACCTCGGTTGCCACATTCACACACTGCTGCTCGTTATTCGCTACTGGGGAACATCCGGACTGGGCAAAGCCAAGGGAAAAAACGTCCCTCCCCTTCCAAGATAAAGCCTCCTATGATTGGACAGCTGATACAACAAATTAGAATCTCATTGGCTAACATGTATGCAGCTCTACCAAATAGCAAGGTCTGATTGGATAGAGTGCGTGTCTGTCCTTTTGACACGGTTACTCGTCGTCATTGTTATAATGATATAATTTCAAGCCAGTAGGTGATTTATATATCCACATCCAGTAAAAGAATAGACATATTTAAGATGTGTTTAGCTTAATGGCAGTTCTATTAAACAGAAATTACAATCGCAATTATAATATCAAGAATTGGACATCGCCTATATGATAATCCTGCAGTCCTAATATAAAGTAGCCAAACAGAGGGGCCAACAAAAAAGCCCTCATGCACTCTGACAGCCATTGTACTCTACATCCTCTACATGTTCTCATTCCTATCCAGAAGGTTTACCAACTATATTCGTTATATTGTAAAAATATTATATGTGTACATCCAGTCTCAGTTTAGGGTATATGAATTTATTTCTAAACACAAATGTGGTGTTTTAACAGGAGAAATATGATTCCTATTCATGAAAGGACAAGCATTAAATTAGATTTATTAAATAAATATCAAGTATGATATTGCACACAAGCTGCAGTCTTTCTCAAAAAGTAACCATATCGATATTTATTAATTTATCAATATTATTTAGGCTATTAAGTCCAATTCAATCATTATTACTTCAGTCGAGTGGGGAATTATTTTCTATCTTGCAGTTAGTGCATTGTTTCCCCTCAGAAAGTGATGAAGTGGTAGCACCCAAAATGGACGTGTTAAGGGTGTTTATGTCATCTTAAGACAACCATTCCCTGCTCCCAGGAGGAAAAAAAGGATTCACTACTTTTTCTCAGCTAATCAGCCAAGAAGCATGGCTTCCTATATGGCTCACCGTGGTATTCCATTTTGTGAATCATATTCTTATTACATGGAGTATGCATACTGCTAGTGTTGTTGTTATGTGCTCTGTTTTAATGTTTTACATAACTAACTGATCAATGAACCAAAGACAATTTCCCACCTTGTGTGGACAATAAAGTTGTATTCTAATCTATTCTATTCTACATTGAAGACACTGTTTTGTTAAATTCTTTTTACACAAACATAAGAGTTGTGTGATTTTTGCAACATGTTTTTATTTTCCTGTTATACCATTCAAACATATTTGGATTTTTATTTAGTGTGAAATCTGTTCAAGTGGCATAGACTAAATTATTGATTTTCCAGCCTCTACAGTAAATTATACTATAAGAAGAGTGCATACAGTAAAACTTAAATTAGTAGCCCAGGCTTTTGCTTGCTTCTATCGCTGAAGTCACCCTGCCTATTTGCACAAATCTCTTGAAATAGGCTACTATCAAATTGTTTAATTCAACAAGGATGAATATTACTTGCATAAAAATGTGTCTTTTTTCATCTCTCTTGTTTACCATGCCGGTAAATCTGAATTGTTTCTGTGAAATTAACTTAATGATTGAATTTTGGAGAATTTAACCAATCCTATGATGTTTAGCATGTCCATATTGAAAAAAAAACACATTAATATTTGCATGCACGATCAAAGCAGCTTAGAACTAGCTCAAGCAGGTGACCCAGTGGGCTTTAAGAGGTTTTAATCATCCAAAGAACTCAAAGAACAGACCAGGCATCTAAGTGAGACCTGCAGTGCCAATTTTGAACAATCTGACAACACGTTTGCTGATGGAGGCAGCTCATATAATGTGATTGTATTTCTGTTTTGTAAGAGGTCCAGGTGGCGTGCTCTGTAATTCCTCTCAGTGGGAGGCACATATGTACAATCCCACACAGAAGCCAGTGACGTGCTCCACTATCGACCAACAGGTTGCAGCATCTTCTCCATGGTTTAAAATTAGAGTGAACAGATCTAATAATCCTGTCATGCAGCTATACAGCCGGTACTGGATTTTAATCTAGATCTAACACACAGGATATACACATGGACGGACGGACAGACGGACGGACGGACATATAGATAGATAGATAGATAGATAGATGAGAGGCAGATTATGTGAAGCTCAGAGTGAAGAAGCTGCTAACAGCCATCAGATTAATGGGTCAGCTATATAATCTGGATTAAGATAGAAATAGAAACAATTTCATCATGAAACATCTCCACTTAATGATCACACGTATGTAACACTCCTTTCTAGCAGTAGCTGTGGTTATATGGGTGTTACATAATTTTATTCAAGTCGTTTAAATGTAATGTAACTGACAAACTTGAGTGAGAAAGCCAGTGCAATGGAGAAAAGAACAAACGGTAAATTGGTATGCTGGAGAGAGTTGTCGGGGGACTCAATAGACACTTACGCGTGATTAACCGTCTTTCGATAAACACACACACACGGAGAGTAGGGGAATTGAGTTACTTTGTTTTCCTTTCGTTCTACCAGTGACAACAAACCCGTCCATTCAGTCTGAGAAAGAAGGAGAAGGGACGCTGTCACAGAGCCAACAAGCTTTCACACACAAACTGCTTTTTGTTGCTCTTGTCTTTAAACCTATTTGCTCGTTATCCTCAGTAAATATTTCATGTTTTCTTTGCTCTCCCCTCACCCCCCTTCTTTATTTACCATACATGAGGGACACAGTTGATTTTCATGTCTGATAACAGAGTCTTCAGCCATGCATTTGTAATTGTTCTTCTCTTTTCTGTCCCTCTATTGTTTTATTTTATCTCTCCTCTCCTTTGCTCTCCTCCTCCTAACTGAGACAAAATAAAGTGTCCCTCATCCATGTTCAAATTCATTATACATTTATCTGAAGATTAGTTTCTCTGATTAATTGTCTGTTCTATAAAATGTCATGAAATAGTTTTTAAAAAGTTCATTACAATCTCCTAAAGCCCAAGGTGACATCTTCAAATGTCTTGTTTTGTCAGATATTAAGTTGAATCTCACAGGGGAAGCTGAAACTATGTTTGGCGTTTTTACTTGTCTGTATAAGTTATTTCATATTTACGTGTTTCAGGTCAATAAACTGTCCATCTGTCACATGTGTGTTTATGTAGAGGAGTGTTAATCGTGTGGCAGGATCATTATGTGTGTCTGTGTTTGTGGTGAAATAGGTTTCTTTCTTCCACAGCTCAGTGGAAACAGGTCAAGCAGACGGATGAAGAGATGAACACAAAACAAAGGAGTACTCTACTGTACTGTGTGTGTGTTTGAGTGTGTGTGTCTGTTATGGTTGTTTGGGGAAAGATATATTTAAAAAAATAAAGACCCTGTGGCCTCCTGAGTTCCAACCCCTTCCTTTTCTCAGCACTGCTTCTGGTTTCTCTGTACTGTGTCTGACCCTGACCTCTCTGTTGAGAAGACAGGGGTCAGATGAACAAAAATGCCCCAACAGGGATCAATTACGTATCATATTAATATCCCCTTTTTTCCCCTTAGCCACTCACCCCTGTCCATCCTCCTTTACTGTCCCTCCCACCATCTCTATTTCTCGTTGCCTCCGTTCCCCCCTCTCTCTTCCACTTTTTCTCTCTTTCCAACTCCAGCTCCCTCTTCCTGGAATGTGCTGCTCAGAAGCAGCTGAGTGGAGGAATGTTGCTGCAACAAGCCCATACACAACCCCAAGGGAGAGAGGCTCTCCACACACACACACACACACTGAGCCTCACACACAAACTTGCATACACAAAATCTTTCAAAAACTTTCTTCCTCGCTGCTAAACGAAGAACTCCCCTCTTTCCTCTCTGTCTTTCACACATGTGCGCCTGCAGTACAGGGCAGAGCATGAAGCTATATGTTTGAGAACACAGCAGGATGAGTATATCTGTTCTAGACACGCACAGAAAGAAAACAAGAAAGAGGGAGAGAGATAGAACGTGAGCCTGCCTGTTGCAGTAATGAAATAGGGTGAAAATGTCTGCCCTCAGGGTAAAGGAATGACTCAGTGGTATGTTACACAACCCTTCCTTCAGTAATAGGCTTCAGAATTCAGTCGTATACAGAGAGAAAAACCTGAATAAAAGTGTAGGGAACTGTAACCCATACATGTGATATTTACCATGCTATCATGCTCTATGACATGTGACAGTTCCCCATCCAAAAAACCCACATGCCTTTGCAGTCAACAGTTATCAACTTAACTGAACACCTACAGCATGGGAGATTTTAAAAAATGTGAGGAATGGAGTTCGTCCCTCCAGTAGAGCTCCAAAGACTTGGATAACTTACGCTGTGCTAAGACACTACAGCTCTCTGTACATGGAACAAGCTGAATGAAAAACAAAGAGGGGGAAAAAAGGAGAAGATGAAACTGCTACCAAATACAGCATTACCAAAACCAGTGGTAGAGGAAGCACTGAGATCATTTACTTAAACGTAATACAATATAGAGAAGTAAAAAGTACACAATTGTACTTTCCACCTATGATGTAACACACTAGCATCATCAGGTGGAGAACCAACTTGAGTAAATGTGTTACTCAACAAATGAACAATTACTCTTCTTCAAATTTTTTCATTAACTAAAATGTAGTATTTTATTTATATGTTTTACTTAGACAGTCCTGCAGTTCAGACTAACTTTGTCACACACAATCAATGAATCTCTTCCTTAAAATCTGTGTGATATGAGTGTAATAAAACAGAGTGTGAGAGGGTGTGAAAAGTGGGCCGAGTGGTGAGGTGGGTGATGTGGCACTGCTTGGCCTTCTTGCGTGTGCTCTTGAGTGCAGCAACACCCTCAGTGTAACCCTTCCCTCAAGAGATTCCAGCCAGCCTGTCTCTGTCTCCACCAATGTCACGCAAGTGCACATGTGCGCGCACACACACACACACACACACACATACACACATTGGCAGGCAGCAAGAGATTGGCGGTTGAACGCTCTGTCAGATTTAGACACAAAATTACTGTCCTAGCTTTTGACAGCAGTATATGTGTGTTTGTCTG